AGCACAGTTAACTTATATTAAGAATTAATAAAAATATTATAATAAATGCATCTTGAGATGTTTAACTCATCCTTATTAATAATATTATGTATTTTTTTCAAGACTTACAGTCTTGGAAAAGCATTTTGCGTTGTCATTTTGCTACAAGCGCGCAACGTGAAACGTGTCGTTCTAGCCTCAGTATTTTGCTCGCATAGCGGGCTTGGTGGAAACAAAGCAGAACATAGTGTGTCTGCTCTCTTCCTCGAGCCGAACAGCCGAGCGTGACGTCACGCACACGCACAGCGGTTCTTGCTTATCGTCACTCCCTACGTATAATCCCGTAACTCCAAAACGCAAAGTTTAGAGGAGAGCAGTTTAAAAGTATAAAGCTTCATATGTTTCCCTATAGTTAGGGATCTTTCGGTTTCAAATTTGTTCCTTATTTATGAATATTTTTTTTTAATATTTGGTGACCATAAAGAACATGACTTTCTAAGTGTCATTATGCAATAAACTGAAAATCCCATATGTGACACTTATGTAATTATACGTAGGGAGTGACGTTATGTGCGTGCCCTCACTACTTCGGTGCTCTTGGTGCTGGCCGGCCCGATCTATCATTACTGGTGACCGGCTGCTTAACATTGAGTGAGCGTTCCAGTATAGGTTATAGTTCAGTGAAAATAGCATAACTGAACAAAGTTCTTCTTCTTCTAAAAGTACCAATAATATTGAAAATAACAATCAAGATATTCCATCAATTGCGGGTTGCAGTTTTTCTATTGATATTAATTTTGTAAATGATACTTTTAATATGAAGCACAATATGAATATAGAAGAGGATGAGCTTTTCTCTCCCTCTTCATGTGTTTCTGATGTCAGTGATATATCTTCATTGTTATCTACTAATTCTTTTGAACTATCATTTTGCGAACGTTTAGCATCTTGTTTTGTGAATAGTAATTTAACTCACGTTCAAGGCAACAATATATTATCAGTTCTTCGAACACATTCCCTACTTCTCTGATTTACCAAAAGATGTTAGAACTCTTCTCAATATACCACGAAATCCTGCTGTTATATCTAATGTAGAACCAGGAAAGTATATCCACTTTAATCTTGAAGCAAAGTTAGTAGAAAATCTCTTCAATGTTCTATTTGTATCTACTGTCAAGGAATTAGTATTGGATTTTAATACGGATGGATGTAATTTAGATAAGTTAAGTACTGTACATATTTGGCCAATTCAATGCAGAATTGTGAATATGCAATGTACGAGAAGTCAATAGTTATAGGTATCTATAAAGGTTCAGAAAAACCACACGATCCTAATACTTCTTTTGAAAAATTTATTGCAAATATCATTAGAATCATGTCTAGTGGAGGCATTACTTTTAATGGCAACAAAATCCCGATACGTTTGAGAAGTTTTATCGCCGATGCACCAGCTAGAGCTTTTATTTTAAATCATCACAGTCATGTGTCTAGGCAGCCTTGTTCTAAGTGCAAAGTTTCTGGTGTATATACAAATGGTCGTATTGTCTTTAGTGGAATTAATCACGCTCTTCGAACTGATGAAGACCCAGGTAGCAAAATGTTATCAAAAGGATATTAAAAGGACAACCAAAAAAAGATTCGGATGACTTTTTAGTTGGCAAAAAGATGCCTTTTCGTAGTACAAATAGGATCACTAATGTCCGTCTGGCTGACAACTTATTTATATCCAAATGGCAACTAGAAGAAAACTTATAGAAATTACCAAATTGCCAGCATATGGTCAACCTTTATCAGCTGCCAATATGTTGACATAAATATATCAAATTGCTACAACCAAAAGATATCCTTTTAAAGGCAAAAATAAACAAATGTCTTATAGATATCGAAAAAAG